AACGGCGGGGTATAATCAATTTCACCATAATTCGTTGATGTAATTAAAATGTGGTTATGTAAAAGGGATTATTCAGAGGAAATTGCCAGGATATCTAAGTGAATTTTAGTAAAGCCCTTTGTTGAAGTAAAGTATTTTTTTCAAGTCATCAGATTTGCACGCAAAAACTTTACGGCAATATTGTTGTAGTATAAAATTGATGACAGTCTTTACGTGGGGTTGCCCCATTCCGTTACTTCTCGTCGTCTGTGGGGGAGTCCACTAATCAGATCACGGCTCCATGGTATTTAAGCATCTGCAGTGCGGACGCTTACACCGCGTCATTGTGCTGAGACGAACTTGAGAATTTTCGTACACCAAAATAATTGCCTGTATATTATTTTATATTTGAAAAGCTAATACATATTCAGGAATGGAGCAATATCTTATCGAAAATACATTTTGCGGTAAACAGTATTAGAGGCGTAAATAAAAATTTAAATTTGTTCGCGGATTCATGTGTAATTAAGGCAAACTGCACGGAATGAACGAAAACTCAGAGATGATCAAATTAGTCAGCAGTGATCTTAAAACGGTGGCCGAGTACATTTTTAAAATGGCGAACGTTGGTCCCGTCACCCAAAGCGACCAAAATAAAGTAGGCTCAATATTTTAATTGTGTACAAACATAATCCGGTTTTTCATTTAGTTATTTTTCGCTGGCCACACTTTGTCGAGCAAATCGCCTTTGCTGATTTCACTGGTTTACAACCGTGATTCCAGTGAAGCTACTCTCACTGTCAATTGCGAAAAATTAATTATAGGATCGATGCTTTTCAAGCAGCTCAAATCTGTATTGGCCAAAAGTTAACTGTACAGCATTTTCTATTGCTTAAATCGTGGCCGACATTTTTAGTTTTAATGTATTAACTATATTAAATTTCCGTGAAGTTTGTTCGATCTTTTACGTTATTTAGTCTTTTTAATCATACCGAAATAGACGATGAATCTTAAGTCGAAAAGATTCCAAGTTACGGTAGCTAAGCTTACTATCATGAGACGGCTTGGTGCTCTGCTGCGTCATTCATTAATTGTCGAAGCGGGCTATTTTGGATTGCAGCTTCTAGAAGTTTCTTTACTGGACCCAATGTTTCTGCAAGCAAGCTCCATCACCTGGATTTGAAGGTACAAAGATGCCAGGGTTTAATTAACCGAGACACCTGATCATCGGCCTGCTCATCTTCATTGTTTGTTTCGTTTCGTCAAAACAGTGCCACGTGAGCCTCTCCTGGCATTCTGATCATATTTTCAAACCATGGCATAACCTCTCAATCTAGAGAATGAACAGCTCGCAAGTGAGGGTATCTCAGAGTTTGGTGTCCGAAAGTTTTTTGCGCATCGTCAGAGCAGCTATCCTTCAAGTTATCTCGCTTTCAGTACGTCTTTAACGGCACTCTTTTGGTTAGTGCTCAGTACGCACCATCATATGTATGGGAGGACTTTAAATCAAATAACTATATTACCGCTGAGTTTTTTCTTCATCGCGACAATTCATTACTGCGCCTGCTTGACATCCGTAAGTTCTGGTTCCACGTTCTGCATGTCATCACTCATGAATGCTGCTTAAGGATATTCGAAGTTTTCTGCCTGGATCAGATGCATTCACAATCCAATTTTGGCGCCACGTAGAGGTGAGTTGGCAACGGTCGAAGTAGGAGGTTATACGGCAGGGTAAAATATGGTTGTCGCAGAGGCCCGTCATGGACCTCTACATCGGCTACTGAAGCAGTGGTTATCGAAGTTAAGGGTTCTTTCTGGTCTTCACATGACTGCAAATTCATACATAAAGATAGAACGCCTTTATTAATCATCGAATCATGGCGAAACCTTATTCGTCACCATTAATGCATCTGAAATTTAATGAAACATTTATACGCTTTCGCAGTATTATAAGTTAATTCCTGGTTGATGAGTTTGCAAGCAAGCAAAGAAACTGGGTTACCGCTAGTGATAATGAATCTGCGCTGTTCAGTGATGATACCAGTTTTACAGCAGCCGATGTTCCCGCCCTTAGCAGACATCGTTTTCGCAGTAGTGAGTTAAGTAGTGACTCAATTACTCGATACAGACATCAGCAAGACGATGGCACTGAAATTCTCCATACTGCTGTAAAACAGCGTAATGTTTGACTTGATTCTGTAAAATTTAAAATGGCCCTCAAAGGTGTCATGGCAGTTTGCATCGGTTATTCTAGTCTGGTGTGGTCAACGTATAGAATGAAAGATTCTTAAACGATCTTGTTTAAACAGCTGACTTTCGAATTTTTGAGTTTTCAAGTAAAGAAACCTGAAAGAAACATGTCGACAAATTTTACGAGTAAAGAAACGACCGATTGCGGTAGGAAAATTTATACAACAATATTCAGAAAATGTAAAACAATGAATTGAATAACTATGCAAATCGTAATACATGTGGCATACAACTCGTAACAAGAAACAAGTGACATAAAAATGCATAAAACAGTTCCGCTTGTCTTGAAAGGAATGTGGTACGATTAGCTTAGAGAAAAACTCGATAACGCATCTAGCAGTGTTTACTTAATCGAACATTGATAATGGAATGGGCGAAGTTTAGCATTAATGTAAATGGGTGTTCCGCACGACGAACAAATCTGTGAACGATGGCAGTGTCAAGGAAGAAATCGCTGAAAAGATGGCTCGGCACCCATCACAAAATCAACAGCAGTCTCAATAATAAGCTTCCATAGGTTCTTCTATTCTTTTGGTTCCCGATACATGTCGGCTAAATTCTTGAACCGCTGGTCCCATCTGTTTACCTCTTCCCAGTCGATGTCTGATTCATCAGACGACAACGAAGACAGGCTCCCAACGGATTCCGTGTCGTCTTCATTCACATATAAACGCAGTTCATCAAGGGGTGGTACATCCGGATCTTGGTCTGCGTCCTGCAGTCTATCACGGATGAAAGCATCGAGATCTGCAGATACAGAAATATGATAATCAGAGCAAAAAAGTTCACACAGTTTACAAAGTTAGCTGTACATCAGCTGAAAACTGGCAAAGATGTCCATAAATCTTGAATCAATCAGCAAACAAAACAGCGTTAACAGAGCCAGGCGTATCCCTCTCCAGCTTGTTGGGAAAACCAAAGTGAAGTCTACTCTGACTACAAAGATAAGGGATAATTTAGAGGAACTTTCTTGTTATGCCCATCTTTGAGGAGAAGAATACGTTAATACCATGCCGCCTTCCTAGGAAACGACGAGCAATGGTTAACGAATTTAAACAACAGATACAGAGGGAAGAAAGTCGTTTGCTTTCGAAGAAAAACCGGCCTTTAAGTCCTAATTGCAGATACCATTTTCGTCACCGTTCTTTCGACAGACAACAGTGCAACGTTGATTTCTGTTACGACACATCAGCCAGGAACGCTTATTTTTAAAGCCAGTGTTTTCAGCTAAGTGGTCATTACAGGATACAGCGATTCTCAGTACAAAAAACTAGCCACAAAGATCTAGCCACAATTCGAACTTACGACTGCGTCTCCGGTGTTCTACTGCCTGAACTACCCTGACTACGAATATACAAGCTGGACAATTCAAACGGCAATCTGAAAAATAGCAACTACAGACTAGTTCTAACAAGTGACTACTACACTTGCGTTGTTGTGCTGACTGAAAAGGAGCGCTTCGCCCGAGTAGCAGGAACAGGCATTCTTTGCTGTTTTGCAATATATGACTTGGTCGCTGTTACACAGTCGTATTCAAACACGAGGGTGACTCAAGCCCAAGGGGGAGATATGCAAGAAACAACCGACCAAAAAACTGTGACTATATTGCAAAGCATTGCTACTAAAACAAAAACGACACAATACCATCAGGATGAACGGGCTTCCTCTTTGCATCACCATTCGGAAGCTTCAGTGCATTGTCCTCTATAGGTAGCACGGGTTTACGCAGTGCGGCGATGTTGTACGCATCCTGGTCTTCCTCCCCGCCGCCTTCTTCATTGTAATGCATGATGTTCTCGCGGATGTCGTCATCTGGGGAGGTGTAAGGCGTTGAGCGTCGTCGTTGTGAATAGATCACGAAAAACAGCACCAGAACTACAAGCAACAGCTACGCGTTAAGAAAACTGACTATTACAGGATTACGGAACGTCATAATAGAATTTTAGATTACGTTAATCTGAAACAAATTACTTTCAGCTACAACTGTAGTGCAACCGATCTGTTCGTCATGTATCGACTTCCTTGATTTCCCATCTCTCTATGGACACTAAAAGTTTCTGATGAACAACGCTAATACGCTAATTACATCGCGTTCACCAGGCAGTTGTTTTGAATGCCCTGATGCTGTTTACCTGGAATAACAGCCATTTAGTTTTGTCGCACTGGACGCTACGTCGTCAGCGCACTGTCTCCCTCCCCTCGGTTATTTATCGTGTATACAGTACTACGAATGCATCTCAGAATAATTTCAGAAGTGGAGTAACTTGTTCTTGGAAATTCTCGAAAGTACAGCTCAATCACGTCTGTTACAAAATCTCAGCATCTGAGAAGCATTAGCGAAGCGGAGGAAAATAAATCCCTGAAAGTGGTCCGTTACTGTACTAGTGCTTGGCGGGAATCTCAGCAGTAAATATTTACAAATGTTTGTCAACAGTTGTACAACCATTGCGGTGAACGTAATTTTGATGACTAAGAGACCTTTAACGAGAAGACACTTTCGAAGATTACGGGCCACAGCAAGGACAGGCACAAAATTACACTGAAAATACTGCATACCAGTTTGCTCGAATTTACAGTGCAATTTTGCGCGTATCAGTGTTTGCATATTTTTAAGAATGCTTAGTGTGCCTCCTGAAAACGAATTATGATTCTGCAAACAGCCTATTCTTATTTTCTAAACGACCTTACATATCAAAGATACGAGGGTGACGATGATGGCAGCGACGGCTCCGCCAGTGATACCCAAGTGGAGAGCAGCGAGACTGCCGCCGCAGCCGACCAGCTTGCCGTTTTCGATGAACGCCGATCGAAAGTCGGGGCAAGTGCAAAACGGACCTTTCCAAAAGTCGACACATATGAACGGTGGACTGCATAGGTTCGGCAGTTTTTCGCAAGTGCTCAACAGGGGGCACTGGTTGCCAATATTCTCGAGCTTCGAGATTGTCGCGTACACCACCGAATCGTTCCTTTCCAACGGCATCCAGTAGTCGTTAAACCAGAAGTCGCTAATGCAACCTATAAACAAGATGACCGGTGAGATGAGTCGCATGCTGCTTGACAAACGACACCGGCGGACGATCGCGATAGCGCTTACCTTGGTAGCCTTGCACCGACAACGTCGTTTTGTAAGACCCAACAAACACGCTCTGCGGATCGATGTTGAACAAAACAAACGGCTCCCTGACTTTCGACTGATCGGCAAGAGTGAAAGATTCCGGAAATCCGTCGATCGAGATCATGGCGTACATATTGAACCGTTCCACGTTCACGTCGTATACTTCATACTTTTGCGGCTGGTCTGGTTCTAACTGCA